CATGTTTCTTCAGATCTGCTAATTTGGTCCATCTTAACTTCTTAAGTATGTGTCTTTTTAATTGCCATTTACACTGAGCAGTTGTGGCACTTAACTAACTCCATGGAGCCTAGCCCTTCTTGAGAAGCAAGCAGTCACTGCTACTGAAGAATTTCCCAACAATAATGGAACCTAAAAATTTATTATCATGCACATGAGAGTCCATTGCTGATCTCTGTCATGAGCACAGCTCGTACCACCCCATCCAATTTCTCTAAGCCATTTTAATATCCTCCCACCAGCATCTAGGTCTTGCAGTGGTCTCTTTTCTTCTCATTTTCCCACCACAAACCTGTGTGCATTCATCTTCGTGCCTATGCAAGCTGCATAGCTGTCCATCTCATCTTTGACTTGGCCATTCTTAAATGTATGGTGAGGAGTAATAAGTATGATGCTCCTCACTGTGCAGTTCTCCCCTGCTTCCTCTTATACTGTAGCATGCGGAGCTGTTACTGTGCAGTGACCGTGAGATAAGCAAATGTACCAGAGCTGTTTCTAGGCAGCGGCTTGGTAAACATGTTCCTGCGGCAATGGGTACGCATGCAGCCATAGAATTACTGTTGGAAGCAGTATTTTGTATACAGTCCATGCAAAGGGGTTATAAGGAGGACAACTGAAGCAGAATTCGAAGGTGCTGTGTCAGAGCAGAAGAAAATAGTGACCATTAAAAAAAATTGTCTTAAATTTCATGAATCAAAATGACCACCAGAATTTATAACCTGAACCTATTAAAGATAAGGCATCGCCCGCTGTACTGAGCCTACACTGACAGAGGCCTTGTATATATTGTAAATATATTATATATTGTAAACGTCAGATCAACAAACCCGCAGCTGTTTGACAAACAAAAATCTGGTCTTAAGTCCCAAATGCATGCTTGATGCCAAAACGAACTGGCCAACTGACTGTCAGTCATTCATAACTTTAACATTTAAGAATAGTTCAGTTGGAAGAGAGCCATTGTTCAGAGAGGACTTGAGGCCTAAAGTGTGGAAATCAGCCATGGCACTGTAAGTAAGTGTAATTATGAGTTGTGTGCTAAAATGGTCAATAAATCCAAATTTTATTTATTTTACTTTTGTTTTACCAGTAATTCTTTCAATTTTAACTTTATTTTGTCATCTCACTTCCTACCTGGTCTACTTTAATTTTCATAATTTTTTTTTTTTGTTTTATTTCATTAAATTAGTTTTGTTTTATATATTGTCGCTTTACTTTCTATGCCATATTTAAATTCTACCCCTTATGCCCCTTCTGACTGTAAACCAACCCCTTTTCAGTGTCACAGGCTCCCACTGAGTTTACACCACTCCATGGGTTCACTCTTGGCCCGTTCCTAACTACGAGACCAGCCCTTTTCAGGGCCACAGATTTTGATTTAGTTTGCAGCTCTCCCATTGGTTCACTGTCAGCCAGAGTTTGTGTTCCTTCCCAATATGTTGGAATGTTTTTCCTCTCATTACTCTTCTATCCTGAAGATTTAGGCAACATGCAAGTTACTCCAAAATGATGGTAAATATTGCCAGATTTTTTAACTTTACATCCAGGTGGTAGTAATTTTCAAGTGTTCATTTTTCATTACAGCTCAAGAAATCACGAACCAGTATTATTGCAGTGTTTTTTTTTTCTTTGACAGTTCAAGACTGCATTATTTTTAATTTTTTAATTTGGAAGGTAAGGGAATAAGTTGTGGCCCAATTTGAGGTACTGAGAGCTACCACAGAACATTCCTCATAGCTCTGGTCGAACCATAAAATGAACTCTGCTAGAATCGCGAGTTTATGGGCCACATTTATGAGCCTGGTACTTCACAGTTATGGAACTGTTTGGTAGCCTTACAAATATGCAACGTCTGCTGTATCAAATTTATTTGCAGGGGTCATCAGAACGACGTGGAGAACATCCCGCTGTTCCTGGTGGTTGCTTTCTTCTACATTCTGACTGAACCGTCACAGTTCTTGGCAGTTAACCTCTTCCGTGCCTACACTGTGGCCAGGATACTGCACACGTTCGTGTACACCATTGTGGTTCTACCGCAACCCAGTAGAGGCTTGGCATGGGGTGTGGGGTATGTCATCACAATCTACATGGCTCTCCAGGTGATCATCAGCTTCCTTTGATAAGAACATGTGGCACCGTTTGAACTCCGAAGCTGCTCACATCATCATCATCAGTTATTTGTCATCAGTAATGTAAATATTGTTACTTTGTCTGCTAATATGAAATTTGATTTACCGTGATGGTTTGATTCCTAAGGTTGTTTTGTCTAACTGAGGTTGGTTTTGACTTTTTTGGTCCCTGCAGACAAATGTAGGAATATGGTCTTGAAATAGTTGTATAGATGTTTTTATATTCACCTTTACTGCTGTCTTCTGAGGTGAAGTGTTTAATACCATGTCCTGGGCAAAAAATGGAGAAAACAGATACTTTGGTGAAACTTTATTGCTCACATGATAACAAGAGAAAAGCTGGAATGGCTGAGTTTGTGAAGCGACAGGCTGCACAATGGAGGGCTGGGGTGTCATTATGGTGGGGAATATTATACACATAAGTACTTGGAAATTAAGTTAACATATCAGAATTGCATTTGTAAAGAAGTTGAGAGCACACAATATTTGGGCAGTACTTGCTGCCATTCAGTTCAGAACATTTTGCCTTCTTGCATGCTGTCTAAGAATGTAAACAGTAGAATGTACAAAACTTTAATTTTTCCTGTAGTTGTGTTGTGTGTGAAACTTGGCCACTCACATTAGCGGAAGAACGTAGACTGGGAGTGTTTGAGAAGAGGGTCCTGGAGAGAACATTAGGACTCAACAGGGGTGAATGATAACAAGCTCTAGGAAACTGCATAATGTGAAGCTACATAACTTGTATTCCTTGCCAGTTGTTCGAATGACCAAGTTGAAGGAAGGTGAGGTGAGCAGAGCATGTACCATTCAAGGGAAAGAAGATTGCATACAGAGCTTTGGTAGTAAAACTTTAAGTAAATTGTCTACTAGGAAAACCAAGGTATAGATTGGAGGATATTATTAAAATGAATCTTAAAGAAATTGGATGGAGGGTGTGGACTGGATTCATCTGGCTCAGGATAGGTACCATGGGTGGGTCTTGTGAACATAGTAATGAACCTTTTGGTTTCCATGCTGTGAATTTCTTGTGCGGCTGAGCAACTGGTGGCTTTTCAAGGATTTAGTTAAAGGCACAATTCTCTTTGCTCCTGGGACCTTCCAGTCTTATCCAGTAGCTACTAGACATGTGTTACCAAACAGTAAACTTGCAAAGCATGAGCCTGACCACCCATCTCTAATGCCAAGACTAAGAATGTATGGATGTTTGCTTCCATGCCTACTCTTCACCTTCATTCATTCATTCATTCATTTATTCACATTCCATAAGATCTTCACAAGGTCGAAAAACAACCAATTAGATATAGAAATCGTCAAGTAGCTTAATCACATCTTGCTTATTAGTCAAAAAATTAATAGTAGATAAGGTTTACATTAGTCATAAAAGAATTAATCCTGAAAACAGTAAAAACATTGACAATTTTAGAATAAAAAATTCAGTCAAAATATTGCGTACAAATCTTGCTTATACATTGAAGCAATTATCTAAAAACCAGTTAATAATATGAGAATAGTTTAGAATGTTAATATAATTAATGATAATAGCTGTAACTAAACATTGACAATATAAGATAACAAATTGAGTATAATTGGTAATAAGAAATGCAAGTAATAATATTGTAACGCGTTTCGTTACTGAAGACGCCATTCAGATTGTTAATTGATTTATTTAACAACCTACAAGTCTCTGCTACAATTAATTATAACACTGTTGCGGGGTTTCACACTTTATAACCCTATTCGCAATAATCTGTTCACTCTATCTTCAGTAGTCTACACGTATTTACAGTACGGGAGCTATACAAGTCTCTCTGTATTACACACTCCCAATTACACAATTACACACACGTCCGGTTCTTCTTTCCGTGACTCCTGCTATACTCCAACTGTGTTGCTCCGGCTCACACACACTCACTACTACTCCTGAACACACATTAACTCTCGCTTACTGCTCAGCCGGCTTTTATTCCATTTGCTGTTGCCTGTTGCCCATGTC